CAGCAGTGAGGTGAGAAGGGCTGGGATGGGAGGAGGCAGAGACAGAGCTGGCTGGGATCAGGATAGCTGAAACTTGGAGTGCAAAGTGATATTCCTGACTCTTAAATTTAAAAGTTCACATTTCTCACAGGTGTTGTATTTGTATTTAGGTTTGTTTCTGGTGAGTGACAGTGAGGGAAGTTCTTATCAAGGACCAAATAAATGTTTGCTGGGAGGTGGTTAAAAAAAAAGTGTTACTGGAAAGTAATTGGGGTTGTTTCCTGTTGTGACCATGAGTAAAAATTAAACTTTTGGAGATGGCCTAGATGAAATTAAAATGACAGGCAAAGGTTTGAATGTCAAACTTTCACTGATGGTACTTAGGAAGGAGTAGGAATTTAATGCTTCCTGGAAATGGTGTCTGTGGCAGATCCCTGAGCATCCTGATGGATTGTTAAATTAATTTCTACCATTGATAACTTTGGGTATTGTAGCTTAATGGAGCCCAGTCTCGTTGAGGTGTGCCACTCCTCCCCTTGATATTCCTGCTGGGCTGGTGAACATCCCACCTGGCACACCTGTGACTTTATACTGGATTTGCAGAGCTGTCTGCAGGGTTTGAAAAGAGTTGAATGAATCCACCTTCAAGCAAAAGCTGTCTGCTTACAAGTTCACAGCACAACCAGAATCTTAATAGCTTCCCATCATGTAAAAATGTTTATTCTTTTGAATGTGGAAATCATTTTCTGCATGTAACTGATTATAAAACCCCAAGTAGGTGTCAGGTGGGGTGTGCATATTTATTAATCTCACCTGTCTAGGGGAAGAAGATGTTCCTTTTGCAGCAGTTTTCTTGCTTCCTGTTTGGGAGCTGTAGTTCCTTTCTGTGCAGAGTTTCAGGGGTTTGCAGTGCACTCAGCAGGGAGCTGTTCCAGGGATTAGACCCTTTTTGGGATGGGAAGATCTTCAACATTTGAGCTGATCCTATTGCATTTACTTTAGTCATTAGGTTGGCAAATATATCTATACCTTGATTGTGTGAGAAGTGCTGATGTGTGATCAGCTGGCTGAATGAGCTGCACAGACTTCCCCAGAAGTCTCCTGTGGTCTTAATTCATGTTTCTTTTGTGATTCAGTGGCACTGTGAGCTGAATGAATGTGAGCAGCTAAGGAGAACTAGACAGTGCATGACACACACAGGGGAAGGTGGAGTCTGGCATTAGGGGCAGATGATCTCCATGGATGCTTGTGCTGAGTCAGCAGGCACTGGGACACGGCAGCTACAGGAGCTTCAAGCTTAAAATGTGGTATTAAGTGTTTAGTTCAGCTGTGCTGGTGTGTTAATGAGCACAGCAGAGAGTCTGTAGTGTAGATTATTCCTGATTGTGTGGGGACTATGCTAAGCTGCTGGAGTTCTTTGAGATTATTATAAGCGTGGATACAGGGGGTTCAGTGGACAGAAGTGGGATTTTGGTGTTTCTGATAAATCCTGCATCAAATATTATTTAAAAGAGATAAGCTGAGTTGCCACAGAATTGGAGGAAAGCTGTTCCTGGGGGTAGGAAAGTAACTAAAAGATAGGAGGCAAAGGGTAGGGCTTAGTAATTGACTTTCAAATTGGAAAAACGAGCCATGGGAAGTGATGTGGAGGTAGTTTTATTCAGGGCCTTCATCCGTGACCTGGAAAAGGTAATGAACAGTGAAGTCTCCAATTTTGTTGGTGATATGAGCTCTTTCAGGTAGTCAAATTGTGCTGATGGTGAGAAAATCTCACTGTCAGAAGGACTCAACAGAATGAGGTAGGCAGGTAAAAAGGTGGCAGGATAATCCTCATGTAAGTAAGTGTAAAGTAATGAATCCAGGGGGTGAAAAAACCCAACACCTAAACCATGGCAGCCTTGTGTTCAGCTCTGTGCTGCTCCCAGGATCTGCCTTGAGTCTTGGCACTGAGTGTTCTCTGAGATGTGTGGCAGTGCTAGCAAAATGCTGGATGTCATCAGGGAGAAAATGGAAAATTCCATCATTTTGTCTGCAAACAATGGTACACCCACATCTTGAATCGAGTGTGCAGTCCTTGACACGTAAAGAGCAGAAGGTTGTGGAGGTGAACAAGGAAGGTAAAAGGGTGCAGTGGCTGCCCTGGGAGGTGGAACTGAAATAGTTGTGTCTCTGCAGTTTGAGGAGGAGCCTGGGGGAGGGAATTTAATCAAGATTTACTAAACGTGAAGCTTAGGGTGAATGTGCAGCTGTTGTCTGAATCCTCCAAACCCAGAACTAGCGTTCATTAGATTAAACTAAGGGGTCTGTTGAAAACAGATGAGGTGTACCTTGACAGAGCTGATGGTGAAGCTTTGCTCCCCTCACTCCCCCAGTACCCAGGGGGCCACTTGGTGCTGATTTGGGCCTTTGGCTCAGAAGTGATTGTGTTAGTCCATAAAAATGTGAGATGCTAATGTACTTGCTGTACTCAGTGTCAGCGAAGCAGATACATTAGTTATTTGCTACAGTATCTAAAGTGCTTCCTGTGAAGAATTCCTTCTGTGTCCTGTCTTCTCTTGTGGCTGTTCAGAAGGACTTAAAATAAACTATCATGTGCTTCCCAGGGAGTGTACAATCAGAGCCTCCCCATGCATGGCTGTTCCCTGCTCTGTTCTGTGTGAAGCCTCAGAAGTGTGTCAGATCCTCTTCCCTCCAGTTACGAAATTGGGAATGTAGTTTGAGCTCTTGCTGGTGCTTCTGTGACTCGGCTTCCAGCACCTGCTCAGACTTGAGTTACTGTTGCCAGAGTCACACGCCGACTAATTATATGTACAAGTCTTAAGCCTTGAGCTGCTTGTCATTAAGAAAAATGAATTGCTGGTGTCCCCTAATAGCAGCTGAGTGAATGTGGCTCTTGATGAACACCCTAAACCGAGCTGGAAGGCAGAGTCCATCTGAGAAACACTTCTGAGGGCTGAGTCTGCCCTGCCCTCGGGTTGCAGCAGCACCCGAGCGTGTCTGTGCACCGGGAGAGCACTGACAGGAGCCAGCGAAACATCTGGCTCTCCTCCTCCACATCAAACACCTTAAAAGCTTCTTTTCTTCTAGAAAACATTGAGGCTGATGTAGAAGCTGCCCCAGGTCAGAGTGAAGAAAAATCCCTGCCTGCTGCACCTGTTCCTAGCCCAGTAGCACCAGCACCTGCACCGTCCAGGAGAAATCCACCCGGTGGCAAGTCCAGCCTAGTCCTCGGTTAAACCTTTCCCTTCCTGACTGTTTTGAACTCGTGTCTGTTTTCTTTCCCCCATGCTTGTGACCTGCACAACTTGAGCCTGACTGTACATCTCAAATTTCTTTCATTAAAAAGAAGCACTTTATGTACTCCATCTTTTTTTGAAGTCAAGGGTTTTTTCCACTTCTGTCCTGTGTTTCCCCCAGATCTACTGGAAGTGACATGAGTGTTTTCTAGTGATAGACTTGAGGGAAAGCTTTATGAAGTATTGTAATGTAATTCAAAGGAGAGTAGCTTGGTTCTAAGTGTGCTTAGAGGGTTTTTGTACTGAGGTTTTTTTTTTTAGAACCCCTTAGCTTTACAAGGGTCTAGAATCCTGGTTACCCAGGCCAGCAAACAATCAGCAAGAGCGGTCCCTTCCCTCCACATGTGGGATTTAGGGATCTAAAAGGCTTCATTGACTGCATGTGGTAAATGCCTTGAGCCCTGCTGTGCCATATAAATCATTGAGTGGTTAATGTACACCATGCTGCCTTTAAAAACAAAATAAATCTTGATACTGGACTATTATGATGCAGGGTCTGTGCCAAATAGAGGGCTGATGACCAGAGCCACCTGGCCTAGTGCTGGGAAGGGGCTGATTCAGACTTTATTCAGTAAAGGTGGAGTGGATCATATAAATAAGAATTACAGGGCATTTTTTTTTTACAACTGACTCAATGCTGTGCATGATCATGCTGGTGCTTGACCATGAGGTGAAAATCTCATCCTTTAAAAGTGTGTGTTGTAATTTCACGGAGCTGGATTGTTGCTTAAAAGTAAATAATATAGAAATTTTGAAGCCGTGTTTCCTGTGTGGGTTTTATTTCATGGTTTTGGTTTTGCCTTTATTCTGAGTTGTCCTTGTCTCAGCCAACATGCCCTGCTCCAGCACAGGTGGGATGCAGCAGAGGAGGAGAGTTATTGCACTTGGTTAACATCACCATCATGTACCATCTTCCCCTGAAGAGATTGTCTGACTTATCTCTTAATTTTTGTCTTCTAGAGCAGAGAAATGTGGAATATGGCTTGGTATCTGTAATCTGGTTTATCCAAGATACTTTTTTATCTCAAGAAAACAGAGGAAAGTTTATTTTCCTCACAACAACAACAAAAAAACCCCAAACCAAAACAGGATCCTAAAAAGGGAGGTGGCTGTGAGTCCAAACTGTGGAGTTCTCTGCTGTCCTGGAGGGATCTGCTGCAGGATAAGCCACAGCAGAGGATTTGTATGGAGCTGGTGTGTCTGCTGGCAGCTTTTCCACCCTCCTCCTGGAGGAACCGGTGCCTGAAAGCACCCAGGCTTTCCAGATCAGTGCTGGAGAAGCCCTAGCCCGAGGTGCTTAACCTACAAAACCGGATTTACTCTGACGTGCTCCTCTCCTGCATGGAGGGGAGAGGATTCTTATCCCTCGTGTCCCCTGGGCTGCAGGACCGGCTGCAGGTAGAGCATGGGAAGTAAACAAATTACATTTCCTTGGCAGTCCCCAAACCCAGTGGAACTTTATCAGTGCTCCTTTATGGTTGCTGAGGCTTTGGCCAAGCCATGCTGCTGCTGTCCCACCGCCCTTCTCCCCCTCGTGCTGCGAATGTGCCCACTGCGGGATCCCGAAGGGTTTTGGGGGGTGCTATTCGCTTTTCCTCGGTTCCTGGCGGATCCCACCGCTGTTCCCACGCGGGGCTGCCCCGAGGAGCCCCGCCCACCTCATGCATATTCATGTACATCATGCATATTCATGTCCCTCCCACGTGTGCCGGAGCCGGGGGCGCTGCCGCCCGCATCGCCCGCGTGTGCCGGGAACCGGGACCTGGGATCGGGATGGGCGGCGCGGCCGGGCCGCTGCGGGTGCTGGTGGACATGGACGGAGTCCTGGCCGACTTCGAGGGCGCGGTGCTGCGGGAATTCCGCGCCCGCTTCCCGGCGGAGCCGCGCGTGGAGCTGGCGGAGCGCAGGGGCTTCTCGGTGCGGGAGCAGTACCGCAGCCTGCGGGAGGACCTGGAGGTGAGTGCGAGCCTCACCCTCCTCACCCGGCCCGGGAACCTCTCCCTGCCCACCCTGGGTGTGCAGAGCTCGGGGTCGGGTCAGTATTTTTTAAACAGCCATGACCCCTTAAATTACCTACAACTTCCTTTGTCCGTGTATAGGTACATGGAATTCGTTTAAAGAATACTAAATTAAATAATAAATAATGTTTGTTTATGTAAAATAGTAACCAAATTCATGCCTACTCCCTATATTTATGATTTTCCTAATTCCAGGAACTTTTGAGCCTCGATAGCTGTTGATTAGACTGTCCCTTGGTGACCAGCAAGAAGAGTGAAGTCTGGGTTCACAGTATTTTTAATTTTGCATTTCGTGCAGCCTTATTTTGTATAATGATAATTAGTGATTTCTTCCAGGAGGATCACCAGCCCTTTACAGGGAAGTGTGTGCAGGATTTGGCAAAGAGCAATTCTGTCATCAAACTCTTCACTGAACCATGTTCAGCTTGTTCTTTACCCTACTCGTGTTCCTGCTCTTGCTGTGCAGCAGGAGTAATAACTTACCCAAAGCTCCCCGAGTGCTCTGTGAGTGCTAATGTGGCTCCACAGCAGGACAAGAAATATAAATGTTATATATGGGTTTGTACAGCTAATGAAATCCTGTGTCCATATTCCCTCTGCATGCCCTGACAAGCAGAGTGCATGGCAGGTAATGATCAGGAGCAGCATGCAGAAAGCTCTGGAACACCCTACATCCATGCAAACTGTTGCCATTTTTAATGTCTGCTAATGACTGAATGAATATCAGAGAGGTTTGCAAGGCAAAATCAAAAATACTGTGAATCCAGACTTCACCCTCCCCTCTGGTCACTGCAGGACAGTCGAGGACTCTTTACAGAGCCTGGATGCTGATCCAGGCTGTGCCATACACTTTCCCTGAGAGGTTCATTGCTAATTTTAAGGTCCTGTACTGAGCCTGTAGGGTTTTTTTACTGCTAAGAAACGACAATTCACATTGATTTCCCTCCTGTTCCAGGCTCCTGCACCAGGGTGATGGATGGGAATGCTGGGTCCAGTCAGCATTTCCACAGGCTCCAAACTGCCTGAGCTCTAATCAATGACTATTGATGCTCAGAAGTTCCTGGACCTAGGAACCTGTAAATATAGCCAGCAGGCATGAATTTGGTTATTATTTTACATAAACAGACATGATTTATCGTTTAAATTAGTATTCCTTAAGTGAATCCTGTTTAGGTATATATGGACCAAAAAAAAATGCAGGTAATTAAAGGGGTCTTGAATTTTTATTTGTTCTTATTTTGAAGGTCTACAATCTGATCTATCAAAAAAAATTGTGTTTTGTTCTATTTCTGGCATTCCCATTCCCTCATTTGGTTTGTGCTCATCCTGTTTCTCCCCAGACCTTAGGTGTGGCAATGGAATAACCAGATAACTGGTTTGAGTCCCACGCAGATCAGCAGTGGCAGAAAGCTCTTATCTTGCTGTTCATTACTAGCCTGGCTTCCTAAGGAAATTAGCTTTGTGGAGCTGTGCTGTGTGTCTCCTTCAGTAACCTCTGGAGTTCTGGGCTGCTTTAGCCACAACAATGAAGTTTTAAAGATTTGAAGCTCCTTTGGGGTTTTATGTAAAAATCATAAAATAGTTTAAAAACAGAGCCCTTGTTAGTTCTGCCGTGGCTGTACAGGGTGTCTCTGAGGCAGGAGAATCCCTGTGGAAGGTCTCTCCTTGCCCACAGCTGCAGGAAAAGCTTCAGCAGGAACCAGCAGCCCAGACACTGAGGACAGTTTTTCCATCCTGTGCCGGGGGGTCTGTGAGGCCTCATGTCCGTGCAGGGAAACTGAGTCTGCAGTTTGTCAGTGCTGAAAGGAGGGGATCAGCAGGACACCAGGGATCAGCTGGACACCAGGCTCTTTGTGGCAGGTGTCGGCTGTGCCTGCCCATGAACTGCCAGGGTGTGGGATACTCTCATGCCAGGGGGTGGGAAGTGCTGTGCTAATGATTTATGAATCGCCTCTTACTGAGGGGTGTTTATGCTTTGTTGGTGCTGAGCAGCTGCCCCTTGAAACTGGAGCCATTACTTGGGGTTTTATTTCTGTTTTGATCATTGATTTCACATTGTAAATCCATTTTATTTAGAAAGACTTTTAATCCATTTTATTTTGTTCAGAACTTTCTTTACTGCTCTTGCCTATCTGCCCCCCTGCATGTGTAGCCATTTTGATGGGGATTTATCTCCCAAGAGTTTAGGATGTGTTTCCTGGCCCCAGACAGTTTCAAAAAAGGATTCAACACCTCCAGCGGGGGCAAAATTTTCTAGAATTATTTTTAGGTGTCTAGAATTGGTTTTTTAAATGCCAACGGGAAAGCTTAGGGATAGAGGTAGTCACTCCAGTTTTGCATCCAAGTTGTTATCTTGCTAATGGAAGTTAAAAGGAAACCTTCAGCACTGATGGCATGAAAATGAGGAAAGAAAATGGTTTTACTTTCAGTTTCTAATCACTTTTTGTTTCTTGTGGGGGAGGGAAATGGCTTTTGATTCTAAGAGTCATCAAATCGATTTCCTTTTGCCAGCAAAGCCAGACTTTCTTGTGACATAGTGGAAACTTGCCAGTTTCTGGTGACTTGCTGTAGGATAAAAGAGCTTTCAGACACAAGCCTTGAGTCTGTAATTCAATCTCCTTGGGAAGAGCTCCAGGGAATTGTTGCTGGGATCAGGGAGGCTTTGCATGGAAACAGAGATCTGGGCAGATCTGATTGCCACGTCTGCACCCAGAGACTCCTCAGCCTCTTCTGATTTGCGTGTGAAATCAGGCAGTGCTTCCAAATTTCTGGCTGTTGATATATGAGTATTTGCAGATGATGATAACTGAGTGAGCTCTGGGATCTGGGAGACTGGTTTAATGCCAGCTCCTTCTCATTGCTTCTTAATTGAAATGGTCTTTATGTTGATGTTCCACTGGTGATATAGAGCAAAGAGACCATCAGCTGGACTCTAAAGCTGCCTTGTACAATTTCTGAGCAAAGGCTGCAGCCTGCCTTTGAAGAATACTTAACAAGAATTAAGTTTTCAAAATTGTTCAGTGGCATGGGAACGTATGACTTTAATGCTGGTGGAAAAATGCTGTTTTGACACCTCTGAAGTTCACAGTGTGACCCCAGGGAAGGTAAGATTTGTGTGTCTCAGGGTAGAAGAGATACTGGAAGCTGAACCTCTCTGTCTGAGAGTCAAACTCGAGCCTGGAAGTGGCCTCAGCACTGCTGTGGGTCCTTTGCCATGATGGGATGTGTGATAAGGGGGGAGAAAACCCATGGGCTGTGACCCACTCTGAAACACTCTGATTTAACACAGGCCACTGAACAGTCAACAGAGAGCAATCTTTAAAATTAACTAACCAGAACTGCATTCAAACCAATGAATTTCCTAATAATAAAATGTATGAAAATGTCTTATCAGTAAATTAAAAAAAAAAAGGACTAGAAGGACAGTCCTACCTAAAGGCACTGGAATTGCCCTGGAAATACTGCATTTCCTTTTAGGGGTTGTAAATGCCACTGTGCTGTATCATATTAAGTACCTTTCTGTACCATTTTTGAGTACTTTAGCCAAAATGGGACAACATTGCTCCTCCAGTAATCTTGTTTCTTTCCTGTTTACACTCACTTAAAAATTATTCTACCTTTAGCACAAACCTCCTTTCCTACTTTTTCACCATTAATGACTTCTCTGATTCATGTGGCATCCCACATGCCTGTATGGAAGGTGGGTTTACACCGAGAGCAGGTGCAGACACAACAGGGATAAAGCCCTTTAATCCCCCTGCTCAGCCCATCGTGGGGCCCTGTGCCCCGAGCCAGGCGAAGGGAGAGCTGTCCCACAGCACCCCCAAACCCAGCCCAGCTGGGGGTCACGGGGTGCACAGGTCACCCCAGGGAGCCAAAGGTTCCTGGGGAAGCACAGGGATCCACCTTTGAACTTCCTGCTGCAGTCTGATGCTCTTTGGAGCAGACTTTACCACAGAGGAGCAGCTCCAACTGTGCTGGTGTCAAGGTCTGCTCCTTCAGCAATGGGTGTTTTAGTGGGTGATTGAAAATCACAGAAAGCAGCAAAGACACAAAGCTTTCCCAGTGCTCCCATCCTCACTCTTCCCTCTTGCTGAAGGGATTCACCCCAAATGTGTGGTTGTGCTGACTTGGCCACTGGCACGGTCACCACTTTGCCCTGTTTGCTCCCAAGGAAAAGAGGGATATTGGGCAGTGCCTGTGTCTGCCCAGTTGTCCCTGGTAAATTCCTGAGTCATCAGCAAATGTCAGCCAAGCATGACAGAGGAGCAGAAGCCTCAAACTTGTTCCTTTGGTTTTCACAAGAGTTAATCCAGAGAGACCTGCTGGGGAGGGGTGAGGAGGGAGTTGTCCCTCTGCCAGAGCTCAGCGATTCCAGCTGCGGGTCAGGGCTGTTTGTGGTGGGAACAAATCCAGGTCAGGGTCAGCTCTGCCTCCTCACTCCGAATGAGCCACCAGGGAATGACTTCTTGTGTGCCTGGGTTGGACTTTTCCTGGAACCCAAAAGGTGAGAAATTTTATAATCCACTCTTGGGGGAAAGCATCACCTCCCTTGGCAAAGTGCTGGCCCTTTGCTGGCTGTTACACACGGGATAACTGGAGAACTGCTGGGACATCTTGGATCAAAGCACAGGCACTGCTGACTGTCCTCTGTCTCTTGCAGGCCAAGGTAGCCAGTGTCTATGAGTCGCCTGGCTTCTTCCTGAGGTTGGATCCAATTCCAGGAGCCCTTGAAGCTATGAAGGAGATGATCCACATGCAGGAGTAAGGACACTCTGCAGCCCTTTTCCATGACCATACACACTTTCCCCCCTGACTGCTAACCAAGACTGTTTACTTTTCAGCACCCAGGTGTTCATTTGCACGAGTCCTCTCCGGAAATACGAGCACTGCATCGTGGAAAAGGTGGGAGAGAATTTATTTTGCTGGGTTTAATGCTGCTTTTGCAAGGCCTTGCTGGTTCATAACACCAAGACAGAGCCATTCCTTTATTAAGGCAGTGGCTGCTCCAGCTGCCAGGCTTCCCTCGATCCCTGTCCGAGGAACAGCTGCCCAGACACGGAGCAGTAGCTCAGGATGGGGAATCTTGCAGTGCCATGTGCTGCCAGAATTACTATGGAGCACGTGAGCCCTGAGCTCTTGGAGCTGGGCTTAGGACCAGTTTATCAGGAGATGATAGCAAAGGAACTGTTGTAGTTCCCTACAAGGAATGGGTATTCCCAGGGGATTCCACGCTGGAGAATCCTCAACCAACAAAACCTTCTGTCTAAATCTGGAGACTGAGATATCCAGCTGCCCCAAAAGAGGCCAATGCTGAGTTGAGGAGGCCGTGGTGTTGGAATTAGTCCTGTTTGCCACTGGCACGAGAATGGAGGGGAGACTTTGGTCACTGGAGTGACTTGGATGGGCACAATCCATGTGCTCTGGGCAAGCAGCCAGTGCTGCTCACAAACTCAACAGTTCAGCATGGCCAGGGCAGTGTTGAGTGAAGGCTGTCACAGGTTAAATCCGTCCTGGGCTGTGGCCAGGCTCCACACGGGGATTCCTAGACAGAGATGTGGGCTTACAGGGGAAAAAATTACTGCACTAGGGCTGACCTGGCACGAGCAATGTGCAAACTGAGACTACAGCTGGATTTTCTCTTACTCCTTGTCTCTGCAGTATAAGTGGGTAGAGAAACATTTGGGGCCCGAGTTTGTGGAGAGGATTATTCTGACCCGAGATAAGACCGTCGTAGCTGCTGACCTGCTGTTTGACGACAAGGACACCATCCAAGGTTTGAACAGCAGTTCCATTGCTGGCTGGGCTGCTGGCCAGGGAGTCACCCCCTGCTGACTCCAGTTTTCCCCCTTTCCCCTCCCCAGGTGCAGAACTGAACCCGAGCTGGGAGCACATCCTGTTCACCTGCTGCCACAACAGGCACGTCCAGCTGCCGGCCCCGCGCCGGCGCCTGCTCTCCTGGGCGGACAATTGGAAGGCCATCCTGGAAAGCAAGCGCAGGCAGTAGTGCAGGAAGGGGATGCTGTGCCCTTCCCAGTGCCAGGGAAACCCCTTCCCAGGAGCCGGTGAGCACCGTCACCTCGGGGTCAGTTATAATAACGAATGAGCTGCCACTGTCAGACTTGGTACAGAGCTGACTCTCTCCACGTTTCTGGAAGATTCCTCTGCACTCAGTTAACCTCTGTAGCATTTTGGATGTTTGCTGTTTGGAGAAGAGAAACTGTAAAACACAAGCAGCTGTGGGTTGGTTGGATTTCTGCGTGTGTGTGTTTAACCTCGCTCCTGTTTGGTTTGTGCTGTCCGGGGGTGGAGAGGAGGAAAAAAGAGGAAGAAGGAAAGCTCTTGAAACTTGAGCAGACACAGCGTGGGTGTCTGTCAGGGGGCACTGGGCTCAACAGCCAAACCTTCTAAATTTTATGTATTTAGCCACCCTGGCTTTGGGGTTTTCTCTTGCCTCATTGGCTGATCATGAAAGGAGACCAAGCTGGCCTCGATTTCTGGCCCATGTGCTTGAGTAAGAGTGGGCAAAGGCTGCAAGTGCTGCAGAGAAATATTTATGAGCTCATACAGAACTGATTACACAGCATTCAAGTTAATGTTTTATTAAGAGAAGGTTTTACAAGACAGCAGCTCTCATGAGCCAGACTGCTGTAAGCCATTTTTTTTTTAAATCTTCACCTTTCTCACCAGTGGTAATGAAAGAAAAACAACTTTCCACTTCTTGATTTAAAGGATAGTTACAGCCTGCCCTGTGCAGTGACTCAGGAGCCAGGTGCCTATGCCACGACGAGAGGGTGGCATAACTAGTTCCACAGGGATGTAGAAAGATTGTGAACTGCCAGGGCAGGAAAACTCCTTCTTTCTCTGCAGGAGGAATAAATTTCTGTGACATTTTCAAGTCATTTGAGTTGACACTCCGTGTCAGTTGTCACTGACACTGAAGGGGAGAGCTGCAGCAAAATCAGCCAGGAACTGCTGCTCAATAACCCAAGCAGAAAACCCCTAACTGCTGGGAAGGGTTATTTGTGCAAGCTGGGTGCTGGGTTGCACTTGGCAAACTGCTCTCCAACAGCCATAACCTGCTTTATCTTAAATATTTGCTGGCAGTTTTAGCTGCATGCTCGGTCCAGCTGCCATGGTAGTGCTGCACCATCATCTTTGTTAACTGAACCCCAGTGCTGGTAGGACCAGCTTCCCTCTTTCACATTTTTTGACACGCTCTTGACCTGCTGAGCAGAAAGTGAGAACAGAGGGCAGTTTCCCTCTCAAACAGCTTCAGTCCTTGGGGAGGGGGATCCCCACTGCTGTGTGTTTGCTGAGATTCCTGGCCTCCTCCACCTGAGGAGGGGAGCAGTAATCCTCCAGGAAGAGGGTTGCCAGGTTGCTGAGCCGTTTGTTGGCTGAGAGGGAGAAGCGGAGCATGCACTCCACCACGGGCAGGGCCGTGGTCTGGTGCCGTGACTGCGGCGTCGTGAGGAACATCAGCGTGGTGACAGCTGACACCACAGTCTCCTCGTTGGGGCTGGACAGGCAGTTGATGATGGGCTCCACCCCGTTGGCCTCCAGGATGTACTCTTTGTTAGTTTTATCCAGGCACAGGTTACAAAGACCACCTGAAACGGCAAAAGAAAGTGTCTGACAAGGCAAACTCTCCACACCCTGGTCTTTGTCGCAATCAGATTCAAATTTAAGCTCGTCCTGTCTCTAACACAGAAGTAAGTATCGAGATTTTCTGTGAGGTTTGGATGGAAAATTCTTCACAGTTCCCTATGCCGTGTTTTGTTGATGCTTTCCAGAGATTTTCCACCAGCACATTCCTCCTCCTGTGTGTCATTAGAGGGCACTGTTACTGCTGCACATAACTGCTTCCACAGAATGATTCCAGGATCGCTTATCCCTAACTGAAGATACCAGCCAGCAATTTACTGCACGTGTTTTAGAAAACCAGAGAATGGACATAACAGTGTTGGGCAAGAGGCACAGAATGTTTGAACTTGAAACTTTGAGAAGCCACAAACCTTAACAATCAAGTATGTTTATTATCATCTCATAGAATCCCTCACAGGATCTGGCCCCTTATCTTATGTTCAGACCATAAAAAATAAAGCATAAAAAGATCATAAGGAGACCATAAAAAGATAAGGCAGTTTCTCAGAGAATTTATTAAAAAGTGTCAAGTAAATATTCTAGAAGACCAGCTGTCAATAGCAGAACGGTAACAATGGACCTGTACAATATACCTGGCTAAATTTATGTATTAATTATTGCTTCTCTATAGGAGAGATTTTAGAAAAAAAGTCAATCAGGTAGTGTTTACTTATGGTTTGGGAAAAAAAAAAAAACAAACAAAATCCTGTCCAGAAAGTGCCTTCATTAAGCTCTATCAGGACAGGGGGGGACATGCCTGCCTCTGACTTCTCTCCCTATTCCACACGTTCTGCACTAAATGAGGTTTTATCAGCACAATGTGGGTCTATTTTTGGAGCCCGATTGCTGATCCATTTTGCACGGGAGGGATTAACCACCAAACCAGGTGTGGGACCCGGTGTCCCCGGACCTGCCAGGCAGGTGCCAGCTGAGGGTGTTCGGGGCAGCCCTTACCAATGGCAAACTCCACGAGGGTCTCGTTGTCCTCGGTGAGCATATCCAGGAACAGATCCAGCACCTGGAGCTGCCGCAGGTACTCGTAGTTTTTGGGATCATAGGCGAAGTTGGCCAGGTTCGCCAGCACCTGCTCCTTGGCCTCTGCAAGGGAGAAGCGTCAGGTGTGTGAGGAAACACTCAACATGAGAGGAGTGAGCGATCAGCGGTGTTTGTTACCTGGGCTGTCCGTCACCTGGAATTCGGTGACAAGCGCCTGCAGGTACTCCAGCCGCCCCAGCTCCATCGCGGGCCCGCCTGTGGGACACCTGCGATGGGCCTAACTCCGTTACCCCTGGAACCCGGGCAGTGCTGAATCACGGACAGCTCAGGGACCGGGGCTGTGCGTGGGATTAGAGTCAAACGGCCGACCATTTTTGTGTGCGTGGACAACGGCAGCGAGGGCTCTCCCTCGGCGGGCGGGGGCGGACCGCCTTTTGGGGCGGGGCGGGAGGCGGCATCCCGTTCCTCATCAGGTGTGTGATCGCGCGCGCGTGGCTCCTCCTCCCTAGGTATAAATTAATAACATATATAGTATACGATATATACATGTATATATATATAAATATATAAGTATACATAAATGTATAAAAATGAATGGCCCTGTGTCGTGGTGTTTGTGTTTTGTTACACGGCAAAGCTTTGCTCTGGAAAGGAGCTGACCGTTCCTCACTGCCCAGTGAGATAAATTACCTGGGGAAAAAAAAAAAAAGAGGCAAAGCCAGGGAGTGAATTAAACCAGTAGAAGGTGATTCCACCCTGGTTTACAGCGGGCACAGAGCAGAGCAATTCCCTGGTTCTGAACTCACGCAGCTCAGTGGAACCGCCGGGACTTTACGTGTTGCAACTGGGTTCAGGTGTGATTCATGTTCTGTAAACAAACATCATGTTCTGTTAATAAACATCATAAACCTGGGAGGGGGTGTGGGGAGCTGGACTTCACAGAAATTTGCATTGCTTTTATTGAAGCAATTACACGGACGGAGGTTCTGCTGTGGATGAGGAGGGAACAGGCTGTGAGTAAGTGTTGTCTTTTTTTGTTGTCTCAAGTGCGATTGGTTTTCACATACAGCAAATTGAACGTGGACCGATCCACCAAATTCATGGCACCAGTGACAAGAGTGCTGGGCTGACAAACCTCTCCTACCACACAGCTGGGGGCACAAAATATCTGCCTGTGACCACATTAAATAGAAGGATGAGCAAAGAAGCTGCACTGAATGCAGCTATGCTAAATATTTTAACGTGGTAACGGCATGGGAAGGCAGAGAAAGTGAAAGGAAAGTCATTTATTTTTACCTGGTGCAAAAGTTTAAGGCAGGCCTGTGCTAGCAGCTTCAGCTCTTAGCATAATTATCAACTGAAGTAATTATCTATTTATATGTATATAGACATCTATATATTTGTAAATATATCTGTATATTTGAGTGTATATATATATATATGAAAATTGTCAGCAAAGGTGCTACAGACCATGTCTATATTAGAATGTTTTGCTACTGTAGTAACAAATCTCTTTTAATGTGTACCTTTTTAAGTGGTAAGTGTTGACATACTTTAAAGCCACATCTGTCATTAAGTAGAAAGTGAACGAGTAATGTGAGAAAGCAGGAGCAGAGAAAGCACAGGGGAGCCGGTCAATACAAACAAAGCAATACTGGGATTGACTAATAAGAGGGGGAAAACTGTGTTTAAAGAGGTAAAATGCTATTACTTCTGTTTATAAGTACTGCATTTACTCACTCAGTGTTGGCTGTATAGTTTAATGGTCTGAATGCTCCAAGCACTTGCTGTTTGCTGGAGTAGTTTGCACAGTGTGGGCTGATATAGCCTGGGTAGATAGCACACCAAATCCAGAATTCAGGGAATTTTCATCTATTAGTTGTTTCTTTTCTTACAGCTACGAGCCAGGTCTGCAAACAGCAAACCAAGCTCTTAAATCAAGTGATTTTGCACTTCTGAGGTTTTTTAAGGTGTGTAAGTTTACTGTGACTTTTATTTGTTTGGTTTTTATATATTAAATATTAATAAATAATATCCACATTTAATGCAAATATTAATATTTTCCACATATTACATTGGCAGAGTATCTAAGGCTTTTAAGGATCGCCATCTTCCAAGTGTGAATTTCCTGGTGAATGTTTCATTTCAGTGAGAAAAGGTGCTTCTTGAACTTTTGTTTTCTCTGCTATGGCAGCTCAGACATCTTAACTCACCCATGGAAACACAGCCTAAAAAGTTACCTCTTCTCTGTGCAGGATTTGGTTCCAACCTCTGGGTTGTGGACTACTTCTAAAGGGTCTGTGGAAAGTAATGAGGGGAGACAACCCTGTTTTCAGACAGCTTAAATTCTGTAAGGCTGTTAGAAAGGTTGTATCAACAAGTTGAGAAACCTTAAAAATTTAAGAATTACACACAGAAAAGATATCAATCTGTTCAGCTGCTTAGCTGTTTATTTGCAATAGCTAGAAGAGATTTGGGACTTGATCCTTCTTCATTGCTTTTTGAGAGGGAGAAAGCCCCATCATTTTCCTAGGAATGTACAACAGTCTGTTTTGGCAAGTTGAGAAGCACCAGTCCCTGCTTACTTTGTAGCTGTGGACCATGTAAGCATTACATAATTTAATAAACACACTTGATGAGAGATTAGATATGTATATCTTCCACTAATTATCTCATTTAAGTATAGGTTTGATCAGGAAATGCAAAGTCTACTGGTTCCATAATCCTAGGGCGAAGATACTGAGCTGTGGAAGTAGAAATCCTTCTGAAGGGCTGATACCTCCTCTGTGTAAGGCCAGCTGTGAAGCCATTGTAGTCTCTGAAGATCTTGGAGTCAGTTTTCCAGTGGTTCAATTCAGGTTTTTGGTTGGTTGGCTTGTTTTGTCTGGGGAGCTTTAAAGAAAACTGTGGGTTTGTCGGTAGGAATTTGATATGGCAGTTCTTAGATAGGCACTGCAGTTGAGTTTGGTATAACAGGTCTCAAGGTAAGCACTGTAGTTCAGTTGAAAGCTGTTCGTTTTTCCATTTCACTCCCATTTTACGTGTCCGTCTTTCTGACGGTTCTAATGTGTTGGGTAATTTTCACCTACGGTGTTTGTGAGCTCTTACCTGCTTCTGTTGGATCAGGAATTATACAGAATATGAACAATTTGCACCTCAAGCTGATGGTGAGGCTGATGCAGCCACCACATGAGCAGTGAGAAGCCTAACTCCTGGGAATATAGCAGGAAAAGCCACTTGCAGTCAAGGCTGTAAGGAAAGCAAAGTCAGCAACACTGTCTTTCCTTGGTATACCTTCTCCCACAGATTTCTTCGTAAGTTCTGCTTGTGATTAGAAAAAATAAAAGTTATACTTGTACAAAGTTCTCTAAAATGAGCTTGCTGGTGCAATTAAGTCAGAATCTAAGACTAAAGAGCTGAATTCATTTCCACAGTTGCTTGGAATTTGGCCCTATAAAAGGAGGCATACAGTTATGCTTAGGTATGGTAACACCTTTGCTCTCTCCCCCAAATGGGTTCCAGGTAATGCTGAAGTGTGTTTACACAAGCCATGAATCCTCTTTTATGATATATCAAGAAGCACTTGAGATATCACTAGTTATATAAAGCAGGCACTCCAAGTTTGGGTGGTTTTTTTTCTTTTTGATGCTCTAGAGTTGAACCTTTCAGGCTTTGAAACTGCTCTTGGCATGAAGAATTCATGTATATACCTTGTAGGAGAAAATAATTGGTCTTTCTAGAGACTTGTCTGAGTTTTGCAACCCATGCAGCTGCTTTCAGATAATATTTAGAGATGTGGAAAATAATTGCACTCTTTCTGTAGAAAGTGTCTTACCACCTGCAGCATAGGAAGCAACCAGGATACTTGTGCAGCAAAATTACAAGTGAAAGAACTACTCTTATGCATAGCCATTAATCCATGTTGTCCAGCACTTCCAATGATTTCTTAAAGGTAGTGACTTAACCCAATTGAACTGACACAGCTTTTTGTCTCCTTCTGTGGCTGTTGTCCCATGGTTTGCTTTAGGAGAGCACAGATCTCTCTGTCCTTCATCTCCTTGGCTGGTACTGGGTTTGGGGCACATCCCATGGTCTGGATGCTTCTCTTGGAGTCTGACATGGCCCCTGGGAGTAGAAGTGCAGAAGGAAGATGACATTTGTGGAAAGCAGACTTTTTTTTCTCATATGCCATCAGTGCTGAGCCATGTGCAGCTTTGTACAGACCACATCATTGTGTTGCTCTTTTCTTCCCTTCTTTTCTTTATTTTCATATGCTGGTGACGTACACGACTGTTGGAGGGGGTTGACTTTCGGCCTGTGGATCACTTGGCTTTTCGCTGTATGGATATCTGGAGGGATTACTCAAAGGTACTTTGGAAGCCTCTCTCAATTTGTTTTTTTTTTCCAGAGCACAGAAGCTGAGCCCCATAAATAATGCAGCAGATATCAGAAAGAAGCTCGAGGTGTGGAAGACGTAGAGGAAATCACCGGTTATGTCTACCAGGAGACCTGAAATAGAAACCAAAGAGAAGATGCACATTAAAGGCATAAATTGACACGAATGTTAAACCTTAATAATTCAGTAAATTGCCATACACAAAAGATAAGCATTCTCTGATGGGTTAAGTTCTCTTCTCTAAATTCTAGGGGTGGGTTGGTTTGGTTTTTTTTTTTTGTAGTCACCACTCAGGTGATGTTTCTGCTTCTGTTGAAAGTATTTCTCAATACACACAGAAATCAGAAAAGAAAGGAAATTGTAATTTTCCCCCAAAACTGCTGATTCATTTAGTTTACCCAGTAGAGAACCCCTGTGCCACTGCCACTGTGCCAGCTTTTTCCTTGCAAAGGTTCTCTCACCTGTGAGTGGGGGCCCGATGAGGACAGTGACGCTCTCCACGATGGTGAAGAGCCCTAGAGCACTGGAGAACCTGTCCATCTCCACCACATCCATCAGCACCTGGAAGGTGAGTGACCCCACCCCGCTCATGGAGATGCTGAGGATGACGCAGTAGAGGATGAGGACTCTGAACTCGGCTGATATGATGCAGATGAAGTTGCTCAGCCCGCAGAGGAGCGCGGCCAGGCTGAACAGGTAGATGCGCCTCCCTGTGAACACCCTGTGCCCCGAGAGCAGCCCTGTGAGAGGGCGGATGAAGATGTTGATGAACCCGATGATGGAGATTAGAAGAGCTGCCCTGCCTTCCTCCACCCCATTGTGGATGGCATAAGGCACAAGGTAGATGTGGGGCAATGCAAACCCCATCATCATCCAGGCCACTCCAATAGTGTAAATCTGGTAACGTTTGTTTTGGCAGAAGATGTCAAAAGCCAGGTACTTTTGCAGCACCTGGAAACATGTTGTCCTTCTGGCATGCTGCTGGAGTGTGGGGTGGGGAGGAGACACTCCGTTGGACAGCTGTGCCTCCTCTGCTTTGCTGCCTGGCTCCTCTCCAGGCTCGGGTGGCTGTGGAAGTGACCCGATGGGTCTCATGATGGCTCCACAGACACAGCAGTTCAGGAGTATTCCTCCAAAGATGACGAAGGTGTTTCTCCAGCCCATCTCTTCCAGCAGGTACTGAGACAGCAGCGGCCACAGGGTGAAGCCGAGGGAGACGCCGGTGGAGGCCATGGCGTTGGCCAGTGTTCGCCACCGCACAAAGTAGCAGCCCAGCGCAGTCACCCCTGCCTGGAAGCTGAAACACGATCCCAGACCTAAAGGTGAGAATAAAGGAGTAAGTGACCACACGTGATCCCTCTGTGTTGTCTTAAAGGGTGAAAACAGCACAAACTCAGGGTGTACCCACAGGTGATTTCATCTGCCACTGAAGCATTTCCTCACCTGCCAGGCTGCAGCCTGGCCCAGGGGCTGATTAGTACTCAGAAACCCACACCAGGAATGGAGAAGGATGTTATGTGTAAATTAAACTACTTGTGTTCTTGGGTATACTAAATATAAACTGATCTAAACTGACATTTGTCTGGGGCACGTTGCCATTCCTAAAGTTGTTATGGAATTGTTCATTAAATACTTGGTTTTTATACCACATGCAACAAGCAGTGCTGCTTTCCTGACACTTTCATCACGGCTCAGGGAGTTGCTTGTTTTTCTCTCTATGCAGTGGCCACAGCATAGCTTGCAAGATCCAGCAGGATGGGTCCCAAAGTAAGGAATTAATCTCTTTGTGTTATTAAAAACCAAGAGTTGAACGTCAGTCACACAGGAGAAATATTTGGAAAGGAAAAGTTCCCATCTGTTACTTCTGTTCAAAACCAACATGGTCTTTTGTTAGAAAAAGTTGTCTCCACATTTCCCCAGATTGGGAGTGGTGAAATATAAACCCAGGGAAACTGGGAAGGACATTATCCCAACACATTATGTTCCAAGATTGAAAAAAAAAACCCCAACAAAATAATCCTGTTTTATTGAAAGACAAAAGGCCAAGAAGCTACTAAAAGGAACAGACATCTTTGCTCTCCATTTTGCCCTCTGGAGACCTATAGCTTTTTCCAGAGAGAAGCATTTCACGGTGAGCTTGGATGAGTGTGTTAAAGGGGTGTGAAGGCCAAGTCTAGTGGCTGTAGGATTCCTGCTGCACTGGGGGATGTTGCATTCTCCTTTTTCCCAGATAAATGGAAAAACGTGAGCACTTAGTCAGGACCCTCCCCATTCCCCTTCTCCCCATCAGGCACACAGCTGGGTTTTCCTGCTGCTCACTGGTACGTACCGGTGATGAGCCCAACTGTGAGGTAGAGCTGGCTGATGGACTTGCAGAAGGAGCTGGACACCATTCCCAGCCCGCTGAGCAGCCCTCCCAGCATCACTGCAAACCTGCAACCAAACCGCTTCACCAGGATGCTGCAGAGGGGCCCTGGAAGCAGGGAAGAAAAAAGGGAATGGGTCAGGGAGGAAGGAAATATTTTGTACCTGCTGGATTGCTGCAATTGTCAAATGACTTAGTCTAGAGACCCTGAGGGTTGTCCTAGAAGCTTTATGTAGCTGGGGCAGCCAGGAAGAAAAAATACACTGCCTGATCCTCACAAGTGCTTGGTCAACTTGTTAGCTGAGGGAAAGGCTCCTGAGATCTGCAGGGATTTTGGCCATCAAGTAGGATGTGATGGATTTTCATTAAAACCCTTGGAAATGGACTTTTGTTGAATTCCATGAGGTTGTGGTAAATAACTGGTTTGTTAATGAAATTAGGCAGCCTTCATTTTGGGGTAGGGAAAGATGAGTTCAGACCTGCAGACTGTCAATGGGTAGAATGTGCTTCTCTCTGTATGCTCTGACAGAAGAGGATTTGAAGGTAGATTTTCTTTTCCTGTTCGTTTGAGGATCCTCAAGATTTTTCCATGTATTTCCCCCCCCCCCCATTCTGAACACTTAAGGTTATGTAAGCAAATGCAAAATGACTGTAAGCTGCAGAATTAGGAGTCAGTTAGTGCAGAGAAAATAACCTGTGGCATATTTGTGACCTAAAATGATATCTGGTTTGAAATAAAATCCATACAGTCAAATGAACAGTGGAACATTATTAAAATTAGGAGTGCAGCTGTCTGTATTTCGATCTGCTTGGGAGATTTTCACCTCAGACTTTGCTAGCCTTTGAAAAAGTGTTCTGCAAAACGTGACTGGATTATTTTTCCTCCTGCTGAAGACATTAGGGATGGTACTGCTGTTTAACCAACCCAAGTAGCCAGAAGGCATAAATTAAACACTCCAAAATAATGAGATTGGCTCTAAAAACCATAAGGGTTTTTCATTATTTGTTCCTGATAACTTGCTGTCTGTGTTTCAAATATTATTTCTCACTTGCCTGGGGCTTTTGTGCTTTTCTTTGCAGAAATAATATCAACAAAAGTGCTGCATTTGTATGAGTGAGTCCAGAAAGTTCCGTGTGCATGAATATCCAGGAGCAGGAACCTGTAAGGGCCTGAAATCCACTTTTGGAGGCAGATGTAGGATCCTGAGCTCTCTCAAATGATTTTATAGCAAAATAATCATTAATGGCTTTTACCTAGGAAGGTAGCACAGGTAATGAGATATGTTTGACTGACGTATGAGCTATTATTTGTGCTATGCCCTTCTCTGTTTCCTTCCATAGCTCTGTGGAGCTGCAGCCAGCTCTCCTGCATGGAATCTTCTTCCCACACTGACTGCCCCAAGAACAGGCTGCTCTGACCATTTCCCTCCCTCTTTACCAATTTTTGCAGCAAATATTATTTTTTCCCCCTTTGGTTCCTCTGAATTAAAAAGAATAAAGGCAAAGAAAAGAGAGAATCTCCTCTAAGAGAACACTGGTGACAGCAGGGTGCAATTCTGGGAAAGGTTTAAGTGCTGAGATGATGGCTGTAACCAGAGAACCTGAATCAAAAGGAACCTGGCCCACTGCAAAGGAGATCAGAAGTTGCAGCCAAAGCCATACGTGTTTGGCCTGAGAGGGGGGCTTTGGTCTGTTTATTTTGTTGTTTTTTTCCTTCCTGGTTTATGGTCATGTTACTGCTGCCTTGTGCTACTGGGGAACAAGAACAAGCACCTCTGTGCTGTAACAGCCTGCAAGAGGAGAGATAACTGGCAAGGAAAGTACAACCCTCTGGCTGTGCCCTGACATAATCTACTGTAAATATCATTAACATGAGGATATTCTTTCCTTGCCTAATTTGTAACTTTTGGATCAATTAATTGGCTGTATTTATATCAGCTTTTATTGTGGTTCCAGCTTCCTACACAACAATTACTTCATTAAAGATGATTGGATAATTGATACTTTCTTGTGGATACTGCCAGAGTTCTCCCTCCTGGATACATTGGGACCAAGTTGCTTCTGAGACCATTTCCTAAAGCCAGTAGGTCCCAACTGGATCCTTCCCACTAACCACAGCAGGACCACAGGGGATGGAAGGCAGCACAGGGAATGCCCACATGCTTTGGAATTTGAAGCCCCAAGGACACTGCTCTATTTCTGCTGATTTGCAGTGATGATTCTTTCCCTTCTTGCTTTCCCCGCAGTGTCTTTCCATCTGCACCTTGAGATTCTGGACCCAATTGTTCCTGCTAAGGTGCAAACTCTCAATTCCATGCCAGGTGGCTCTCAGCCAAGTCCTGCACAGGAGAGACTGAACCTGCCACAGCCTTCACATCAGCGTGACCCTGGGTCCTGGTTTTCTTTTTTTATATATATAATGTAGTGTCAACTTTCACCAGCATTGGAAGGGAGCAGGTGTGAACTCAAGGAGCAGCTTGGACACATGGCCAACACTGGGTACTTTGCTTCTTTTGACTGGTGGGGTTTGGGTCATCTGTTTATCAAATGAGCACAGGAGTTGCACACAGAGGGGCCACCGAAACACGGACCACTCCTTGGGAAGCCCTCGAGCTGCTGGGGATTTGTTTTTCTCCTCTATGCAGAAGTAGAAGAGAATCCCCCCATCTGTGTGTGGAGTTGGGGACCACCGTCCTGTGCTGCTCCCTCATTTTCTTTGTGGAGGGGGAAAAAACAATGATTGCCTCCACTATCCACATACCACAACCCCCCTCCCCCCAGAGGGTGCCGCCTGACCCAGATTCTGCACCGATCCAGCCCTGCTCTCGTCCACCCTGTGTGGGTGTGAGCTCCATGCCACCGCCCAAGGAGCTGCTTTTAAGCCTCTGCCTCAGCTGGCAGCTTGGAGGAGCTTGGCTTTTGGCCTCTCTCCAGCCCCGAAGAACAGTTGTCATGTGGCACTTGGAAGGAGGTGTGCTCTTGTGGACAGAGGATGAACCAAGAAAGCACCCAAGCTCCAGCACTACATGCCAGCTTTATTCAAGGAGCTGTGGGAAACAACTTTCTGTTATTGCTGGTCTGGAAAAGCTGGGCTTGAGAAAGGGATTCATTTTCTTTGACAAAGGGTCTTGGTTGACTCTGAGAGTGACAGAAGGGTATCTGTGGGCACTTAGCTTTGGACTGCGGGATCCAAGTGGCTGGGAGATGCTGTGTGCTGCCAACCAGTCAATCTGCTCAACCTCCCAGTCCCTTCTACTGCCCACCTAATGAAATGCTAGAAGTGTCCTCGTTACATCCCCCCACCAGCAGCACAAGGGCAGGAGGAGGAGGAGGCCATTCCCTGCGTTACTCACCCCCTCCGTGCAGCACAGCCACCATGATGGACGAGAACCACGATGTCTCGCTGTTGCTGGCATGGAACTCGTGCTGGAGGTCCGTGAAGAAGACCCCAAAGCAGGAGGAGAAGCCCAGTGTCAGCGCCTGCAGCACCACTGCAGCCAGCAGGACCATCCATGCCCATCCCTGGTCCTGGGGCTTGGCAGCGCCACGTCCTGCTGCTCCTCCTCGGGACATGACAGCTCCCTCCTCCTCCAAGCCAGCCTTCTGGGGAAGGGAGTGCAGCTACCGTGCAACCCTCAGCCCAGCAAAAGGGCCTTCAGGGAAGAACTGATGGTGTTCCTGAGGCTCAGAGCACTGGTGTGTCCCACACCTTTTCCAGCCGACACTCTAGATTTCTCGCTCTGCATTTCTTCCAGCACCTCCCTTCCTTCTCGCTACAGGATCCTGGCACCAGATTGCTTAAGGAACAGCTGCCTTTTCCTTTTATATTTCACCAGACTGTGACCACAGCCAGGTAGAGGACAGGACCACACCTCCTCTGAGGTATGAATTGGCTTTGCTGCGTTCCGCCCTTATTTTCCCTTTCACCTGCTTTCATCATACGGAGTCCCCTTGCTGGCAATTGCTAAGGTTACTCATTCCCCATGCCGAGAAGAGGAGGAAACTGCAAATGCCAAGAAAAATAGAAACATATAAAGGTTGCGTGTCACAGCAGAGGTCAGTGTGAACCTTTCAGGAAAACTTTATCTACTTACAAAGTGCTAGTGGTGCAAAAACATTTTGAAGCCATTAACTAATTAGCATCCAGTGATGGCAGATAGGCTTTTGCTTTACCTCTGCTTAGGTCTAGAACTTCTTCTGAGATCCCAGTTTTGATTTCTCTGAGCCTGGCAGCACAAAACGTATTGCAATAGCATTCCCCATCCTCTCCACATGAATAAACATGCACAAAATAATAATCTCTGGCAGCTGGATGAGCTCAGAAAAAGTGCCCGTAAGGTCACTGCACAGCGCAATATTTATTTAGCACTCAAAATGTGGTTTTTTTCCCCTGAAACAACAGCTACATTTAGGTCTTGTGTGCAGCTTTAAGGATGAGTAATAGTTTGATTTTGCTCATTATTTCAAATATGCCATGGTGGCAGAAAGTTAGTTTCATACCTCAGGCTGAGACCAGAATTGGTCAGACGAAGGGCAGCGCCGCGTGGCTGCCGCTCATCCCCGCTCAGCTCATGGCCCACGGTCAGACACTTCTGCTTCAGTAGCGACTAAAAGCTTTGATGAAGTCTTTTGCAATATTAACCTAGGCATCATTTCTGTAAACAGGGCTCTTATGCCGGCTGGCTCACAGCCAGAAATGAGGGGGAAAAAAAAAAAAAAGGCTGGGAGCAGAGGGGGGCCCGTGGGAAGGGGCTCTGAGATGCAAATCACGGTGGTGGTGCTCAGCACACTTTAATCCTTTGTCCACTTTAGCTGGGCGCAGATAATGCAACTAATTCAAGTGCTTGTCTCTCTGGTGTGAATTAGCTGGATGACAGCCTAAAACCTCTCCCCGGCAACAGCAAACCTGCAAAAAAAGGCAGAAGCACAGCTCCTCTCTGTTCCCAGCTGCCCTGTCCAACTCTTGAGTTTGTCCAGCAGATTCCTGGCTCCCCTCACATCTCCCTGGGTGCCTGCTCACTGGGGAGGACTCTCCAGTGGGGCTGCAGACCCCATGGCTTTCGTCCACCTTCTGGCTGCAGGACACCTTTTCCCCTGGGCAGCCCAACCTGCACAGTTGCTGCAAGGACCCTGGAGACGTGCTGCCAAGTGCCACAGGACCTCCTCGCTGCCTTCTGCCTGCACAAAGGTAAAGGAACAAGTTTGTTCCAGCGCTGGCTTAGCCGGCTGTGCCACACTGAGCAACAGCAGCAAACCCTTGGATTAACCCTTCCAGGGCAACCAGAGAGGATGGACAGTGTGAATGTGGAGGGATAGGTGTGTGTTCTCCTGCTCCTTCGGGCTTGATGCTCTCAGACAACCTGCTCCTGGTGCTGAGCAGTGCATGTGACAGACCAGGGACACCTGCGGAACACGGGCAGATTTTCACACACACACGTGACCATCTCACGCTAATGGTGTTGGGAATAGGGTTGGAGTTCACAGCAATTGCCACACGTGGGTGCCTGCTGCAAACACTGTGCTTTTGTTGGGAGCAGGGAACTGGTGCAAAGGTGCTTCGCTCTCCCAGCCCGTGCGGCACCTGGGGACACAGAGTGTGCTGGATGGGACATGGGAAGCACACTGCCTGTTTCAGTCTTTCTCTCCAGTCACTGTCTGCCCTGATGAGCTAATCCTCTCTTGTTTACATCTGAACATTATATCCTCTTCTTCCAGTGACCCCCAAGATACCAGCATTCAAACCTTCTTGGATTTCCCCCACTGGACCAGCCCTAGTAGCTGTTGTTTGTGGCAGCAGACCAGGAGCGCTCACACAGTGACTGTCCCTGCTTCTTCTGTGCCTCAGTTTCCCTCAGTTGCAAAGGGGGACAAGCAGCTGCTGGCATGAGTGCTGCTGGTTTCTCCCTGCAAGGCCAGGCCAAGAGACACAAGGGGCTGGAGCATTTATGTAGCTCACCTCAAAGGAAGAGGTTTATATTTAGCAAATTCAGTTTTATATTATGCAAATAAGGGTGATAATTATATATTGTCTTCAGTAATAGCTTGCAGCTGGTGGGCACCTCTGCGGGGGAGATGAGCAGGCCACTTCTCTCCTGCAGCCACTCAGGAGGGAGACCCAGCCACAGGGTCCAGCAGGGAATTCTGGACTGTGGCTGGGGAGAGGCAGAACCTCTGCCTCCAGCAATGGGGCTTGGAGGGGTGTTCAGGGACCAGACCATGCCTGCAGCTTGGGAGCAGGGGTGGGAATGGAGAAGCAGTTTCCTGCTTGTTCCTTTCCAGCATCCTTCTGCAGCCCAGCTCAGCCCCGGTGTGCACTGGATGTGTACTTTATGAATGTGTAAAATAAGCCTCATGCACATAAGGGGGATGTTTACTGTAAACTGAGTGAGGTGGTAAACTCCTTTTTGGGCTCAATCAGTGTCTGTTGGGGGTAAGAAAGCCAAGCACTACTCTTGGTAAATACCTTTATAAGTGACTTTTTAAGTACCTTTCCATCCCAAGACCTTGGCTTGCTTTGCCATCCTCTCCCATGTAGCTTGCATTATATTCCAGCTGACTTTTCCAAGGTCACCCAGCAAAGTGACAGCAGAGAATCCAGATTTAGCTCTGATTAAGGTGTTGGCCCAAGTGGTGCAGCCTGGCCCAACACCACGGGCTCGTCTCTGCCGGATGTCACTTGTCAGCAGTCGCTTGCAGCCCTCAAGGGACAGGCTGTGCCTGGGGCACAGTGGGGGTGGCTGCAAATCCCTGCTCTCTGCCTGTCCTTACTGGCATGTGATGTCTCAGTAAGCCAGTCCCGAGCTCAGGAGCCTCAGCAGCAGTTTTGGGGCTGACCATGTCTTAGGGACATGGTTTAGTGGTGGCCTTGGCAGTGCTGTGTTAACAGTTGGACTCGATGATCTCAAAGGTCTTTTCCAACCCCAGTGGTTCTGTGCTTCTCTGTGCCTGGAAACCAAAGTGTAAATGCCTCAGAGCTTGCAAATCACTTTTGAGAAAGACCAATTGAATTTGTTCCAGAGATCCAGATTAGCAAATCCTCTGGCAGATTGAATCTCTCAGAGGAAGTGGGGGCAGGGGGATGCTTGGTTTTGGGTTTTGTTTTTTGTTCAAAGTAAGAGAAACTAAGTGACATTTCAGCTGTGGGATTGCAGAGCTCTTTGGGGCCAGGAGCTGTTCCTGCCCCACGTTCAGTCACGAATTAAACTCCTGCTCTGATCCACCCCTAAAACCTAGGCAGATCCAGCAGTAACTGAGCCCTCAGAACACCTGAAAACAGATTCCTGAGGCTGGACAGGGTCTGGACAACCCTGGCAAAACCCCTTCAGACCAGCTCTGCTGGTGCTGAGAAAAGGGGGCTGAACCAGGGCTGAAATGCTGGTTTATCATAAGTTTCCCCAGCAGTTCCCATAGCACCACTCCCACATCCTCCCCCTGCAAAAGGCATCAGGGTCCTGCCTGCACTAATTGGTCTTCATTAGCTTGACCAGCAACATCTGTATCCTCCTCTCCACCCTCTTTGATCCCCAGCTGCATTTAAGCCCAACTTCTTGCCCAGGTTAGTCTTTGCTCTGTCTCATTGCTGCTTTCTATTCTCCTGGGTTGACTTTGGATCTGCCTGGCTGCTTTGTGCTCATTAGTCACCAACAACATGGGTGTAAGACCAGGTAAGAAACCCCCTTTTTGGGGCCAGGTTTAACAGCCATTAGCCAGTGTGGGGATAACACAGCTTAGCCTGGAGATGGCAAATGGGAGCTGAGGAGGCAGCTGGCACCAGAGCGTGCTCTGACAGCTCCCTTTGCCCTGCAGGAATTCAGCAAGATGCAGCTTGTCCCTGTTCTTTATCCTGGTGGCAAATCTCTGGCTGGTGGGTGGCTGCAGGTGGCTTGTGTGTGTGCTGGCCCTTGCCCTCCTGACTGCCACCAACCCCCTGGTCCCTGGCTGTGGCTGTCCCAGAGCCTGTGCTTTGTGCAGTAGGTGCAGTGCCAAGAAGGGCAGCATTCCCTGAGGCAACAGGGATGGCTCTGGAGATGAGTCTGAGGAAGACATGCTTGTATAAGCTCATGCTGGAGGTGGCTTTGGCTGACCTGATGTGACACCCTGACCTGCCACATTGACCTGCTCTGCCCTGGGAGTGGGCAGAGAGAGGGACTGATGGTGGCACAGGGTACCCAGACAGATGGAGGCCCTCGATAGGAACCTGGCTGAGGTTACTGAGAATACCTGGAAGCTGCTGGTGCTTTTTTTTCCCCCAGTAATTTCCCTCATTTGTGAAGGTGAGGAGGGTGATGTGTTCCCTGGAAAGTGGGCCTTTTGAGGAAATGGAGTTGGCTTGTCATTAACTGCAGGAAAACTGCAGTAGGTGAGGATGTGGCAGAGGGAGGCGACAGTGGGCTGTGTTAGAATCCAACTCTGCTGCATCCCATCTCTTCTATGAATTGACACTGGGGGCCCTGAGCAGTGGCTGGAGGTGGTTCCCTCTAACAAGCCCTTAATTTTCATTTAGTTGGCTTTTATTAATAAGGAATAAGCGACTTAGTAGGAGAAGGATCAAGAGGAGTGTTTCCTTGTGCCTGGCTGTTGGATCCTGG